TGAGTACCCTAAACCCTAAACCTAAACCGTGGTGAGTGAGCAGGTCGGTCCAAAGCAGCTTCCAAGATCCCGACCGTCCTTGCAGAAATCCTTGACTACATCCCAAGCTATAGAAACTATGAGATCATTGGAAACCCTACGTATATCTGTATGTGTGTATATAAGCATAGCCCTATTGAAACTCAACAAACTATAAGACCCTATAAACACCCGATCATGCCTGGCATCTCCGAGTACTAAACTTTCGGCAGTCTGGAGGGTTTAGGGTTAGGGCTGTTAAGGCTTCAGGTTTTGGGTCTAAGATTTTAGATCCTGGCTTAGGGTTTAGGGGTTTATAGGAGTTTAGGGTTTTAGGGGTTTACTGTAGGGTTTAGGGTTTAAGGGTTGAGGGGTTTAGGGGTTTAGGGTTTTGGATAGGCCAGCGGAGGCACAAGAGGAAGTCAAAGGTAAGTCGAGGAGGGGCTCCACGGTCTCGCGCAAGAAGATGCCCTCAGCCTGCAACATCGCTTGCGCTACAAAACTTCCCATAGTCTCCAATTGTAGTTCCTTTTTGTTTAACCAATTATAATTATATATATATATATATTGAGGATTTTATAAGGTATCCCCAAAAAGGAATTGCAATGGAGACTATAGGTTCGGTGCATGTTGAAGCAGCCGTTTCCGTTGGCTTTAGTCCTGCGACCCCTCAGGTTTAGGGTTGCGGGGTTAAAGAGAGGGCTGTGCTCTGGACTCTGGCGAGTTTTCAAGTAACCCCGAGCCTTTATGGCGGTGGCAAGATTTGTCCCCGAAATCCGCACGAAGAGTCGTTCACAATGACAGCTGCTACCAGGAAAAGCTTTACGTGCCATACTGTTACACGTGCGCCTTACTCTAAACCCTGAGAATTACACATAAACCCTCATGGACCCGGAAAGGCTCTACAAGCCGCAGGATTTCTAGCCTTTTGAGTAGAAAAACCCTAAACTCCAAGCCGTAAAAACCAAATATACCCCAAAGCCCAACCCCTAAAAACCCCAAACAAAATCCTTAGACAGTTCTTCCAGGCCTCGAGCTCCGAAAGGATCGGCTGGTACCTGGTAGGGCTTTCAGCAACCGCCCTAAACCCATGGTTTTTATAAGGCCATAAAGCTCCAAACATCAACCCTAAACCCTCTAAGCCCTCGTCTAACTAGAAGGCTTAGGGATTAGGGCCACAAAGCCCTAAACATCAACCTGAGTTTAGGACCCCAAACCTTATCCGAGCTGCACTCTGGAACCGAGCCAGGGTAGCTATGAGGATCATACATCCCGCGAGGAGCCGATCCGCTAACTTCGGGATATGGGACGGGGGTTGGGATGCAGTGTCCAACTATAGGGTTTAGGTATTAGGGCGGTCTCATGGAGGGTTGTTTAGCTCCCATCAAAAATTCCTGAGCGGGTCGAGTTTACGTGCCCTCGAGCTCAATATTCCTAGCCTTTCTCAGGCAATTTGTTGGAATACCAACTGGCATGCTTGTACTTATTCCTAATATAACGGTGGTAGTAGTAGTAGTAGTAGTAGTAGTAGTAGTAGTAGTAATAGTAGTAATAGTAGTAATAGTAGTAATAGTAGTAATAGTAGTAGTAGCAGTAGAATAGTAGTAGAATCGTAGTAGTAGAAGTAGTAGTAG